TGGGACACCCTGGTTAAATCTTGTCTATTGGGAGACCCTTTAATCATGTTTATTGGGACACCCTGGTTAAATCTTGCTTATTGTGACATCCTGGTTAAATATTGTTTATTGGGACACTCGGCCTGGTCCAATCATTATTATCAACACCTCTAACGATATAAAATTTATATTTATTATCTGTGGTTTTACCAGACATAAAACCCCTTTATCCAGCCTTGTAAGTCTATTGTTTAACGGGAATAAAACTGTGTTATACTGCCCTGGAACGAGGAATCCAGTTGAGTTTATTGTTAGGAGCGATTCACCTGAATTTTATGAGTAATTTCAGCTCATTTCTCGAGTTTTACAGTTCCGGGACTAACCACTTACTTCTCCATGGGAAACATTGGACTAGCAGGGATTACTGGGTTGCTTGTCAAGGGATAATAAAGACATTGATTACTTAAAGGGACCGTGCAAGTATTTAGATGGTTCCCTAAATACCTTTTTCTGATTATCGATGACGGATACATCCGTATTCTTCTCACCAATGCAAAGCTTCATGCTAATGATATCATATAGAAAGTTAATAATATTTTCTGTCAAACTCAAATTCAAATAAAATTTTTTCATTTCTCCTGACTCAAGGAATATAAATGAAAAAATTTCCTTAAGAAAAATCCCCCTGCATTTTAATTGTGATCAACAACTACAAACACATTTTTGCCAATAAAAGAAATCAGTTAAAGATGTAATTGGTGAATCAGACAGGTTGAGATTACGTCTACGAAAATATAGTAAATGTTTTATTTTGATTTAGAAAGAAGGTGTCATTAAAGAAATTTACCGATTGAATTAATTTGAAATAGTACTGAATTTTTCGGGACAAAAATCATAATCTAAAAGCAATAAAATGAATTTCAATGAATCGGAAAACTGTTTGAGAATCAGTTTTAAAACTAAATAAAATTATCTCTTTAACAGATATTTTTTAAAAACCAGTCAGAATTTTAACACGGTCGATAAACTCGAAATCTTTTTTTGTTTTTTTAACCTTAAATTTAATCTACTTACGTTTCGCGTCCATCATTTATTTCAACTGTCAACATTTTCTCTTTGTATACAGTGTAAATCAGAAACAAATAAAAAAGTTCGCAGATTTTATTAAAAAAATTTCGTGGATTTTTAAAACTTAATTAAAATCAAATTTTACTGGAGGCTAATATTTGAAATTTTGATCATCCATCAACCTTCCCTGGGGTCTTGTGAGGTCCCATACAAAATTTGGGCCCGATCGGTTCAGCCGTTTTGGCGGTTATTGGATACAAACAAACAGATAGACACCCAGACAAGCAAAGTATAAATATAGATTAGATTTCTTTGCAGCCAGCGAGAGGGTCTAAACTAACCTTTGGGAAATTGTCACTTGGGAGTCGCCCTTGGAATAATACCTAGCACCCTATTTTTGTGGTTCTATGTGTATATTTTATTTAAAAATCTGGCTGAGGATTTGAGAACTAGAGGTCAAGAATTTCTTTACTGGTTTCTCTGGGTACACAAGGATATACCATACAGCTTTATATTCTAGAGAATGAGCTTAAATTGTATCATTAAACCATACTCTATACAATTTATACAAAATATGTACATACAATATATATAATGGTATATATTATACCTTCTTGAGATCATACAACATAAAATTATAAATGTACAAGATTTCTACATGTATTATGTCTTTCATTGGAGATCATATTTATTAACTACTAGTATTGTATTGTAAAGGATCCACTAATATAGTATAGTATTGTACTGTATTGTATAGAATCTACTCGTATTGTTTTGTGTATTTTTTACTGGTATAGTATTGTATTGTATAGGATCCACTAATATTGTATTGTATAGGATCTACTAGTATTGTATTGTATATGATCTACTAGTATTGTATTGTATTGTATTGTATTGTATAGAATCTACTAGTATTGTATTGTATATGATCTACTAGTATTGTATTGTATAGGATCCACTAGTATTGTATTGTATTGTATTGTATTGTATTGTATTGTATTGTATTGTATTGTATTGTATTGTATTGTATTGTATTGTATTGTATTGTATTGTATTGTATTGTATTGTATTGTATTGTATTGTATTGTATTGTATTGTATTGTATAGTATTGTATTGTATTGTATTGTATCTAGTACTAGTATTGTATGTTTTGTATCTAGTACTAGTATTGTATGTATTGTATCTTGAGGAAAGTGGGTCTGAGGGAAATGTTCTGTAATTCTTAATTGCTTTGCCCTCAATCCATTCTAGGTTTAGATCCTCAACATTTAAACTTAAATAAATACAAAATCTTTATTTCAACAAAATCATAAGATTTACGTTTTCAAAAATACCAAATATTCAAACTTGAATTGACAATTAATCAAATGTACTTAAATCAAATTGACATGCGCAAGTCACTTTTGTAGAGAAAGTACATATGAAAATAACCTTTTTTTAAAAACAAAAAATGGATATTAAATCTATCAGATAAAGCTTTTTGATGGCACAGCTTTAAATTGCACTATGTACAGTTGTACAGTTTTATTTACTTTTAGTATTACTGGCAAATTAACAAAATATAAAAATTAGAATTTTCGAAGAAAAAAATACAATTATTTTGATGGTTTCCTTCTTGAATTATTCCACCCGAAATCCGAAAGTTTGGGCATGAATAGAAATGGCTTGGCAAAGGATTGGATTTCCGAAAAAGTTTGTAAATGTAGGGATTATATACATTAAATATATATTATATATAAGCCAGGGACAATATAACTTAGTGAAGAGGGTTGGGATTATATACATTAAATATATATTATATATATATATAAGCCATGGGACAATATAACTTAGTGAAGAAGGTTGGGATTATATACATTAAATATATATTATATATATAAGCCAGGGACAATATAACTTAGTGAAGAAGGTTGGGATTATATACATTAAATATATATTATATATATATAAGCCAGGGACAGTATAACTTAGTGAAGAAGGTTGGGATTATATACATTATATATATTATATATATATAAGCAATGGGACAATATAACTTAGTGAAGAAGGTATGGGATTACTTTCAACCTGTCTACCTACTAGTCCAGATTAATACTGGAATGAAAAAAAAACAAAAAAATCGTGATTTTGCAGAAATAGCAGACTAATATACTTTAAGTAGCTTATTTAAAGACTGTTCAAGAAATTATAAATAAGTTTAAACGCTACCGTTAAACGTTTATTTAAGTAACAATAAAGAAGATATGATAGTTTTCTTGTCGTAAAAAATATTAATTTACTTCCTTGACTTTACTGCATAAATATGCAATAGCTACTGCAACAAAAATGTTTTACAAATTTTATTTTGACTTGAATTGTTGCCGTACAGTGGGGCCCATAACATTGTGGAATATTAAGAAGACTGTTTTAAATAGTCCAAAGTCTGAAACTAAAGAATGCAAGAATTTTAAGTTCGAGGTTAAAAGTTCTGTAAAATAATGAATAGCTACTTAAATATTAAACTTTCTAAATTTTAAATTTGAATTTCCCGGGAAAATTTGAACCAATCAGAGTAAAGGATTTAAGAAGAATTATTACGTAACTATGGGTAATCAGCTGTTTTTTTAAATTTTAAATTATTTACGTGACAGAAAACAAAACATATTTCCAGTTACAACTGTATTTTGGGTTTACGTGCAAACATTACTTAATCTGAAACGCGAAATTTATTAAATCAAGGTTTTAACCTTGTCTTTAAATTTTAACTCGTCGATTTCGGCGAGTTAACCCTATTCCCGCTGGGGGGGGGGGTCAATTTGACCCCCCCTGTAGTTTTTTATACATAACTCAAAAAGTATTGGTCTGAGGCTGTTGAAATTTTCTGACTTTTCTTACGTACCCAAAGCCCTCCCTTTAGGCCTAAAACCGGGCTTTAATACTAACTGTCTGAGTCCTCAGGCACACTGCCTGAATGACTGCTTTTGCCTGTAGCAAACTAAATCTTTGTTTTGACCCACTTTCACTTGTCAGATTTTGATAAAATTTAGCTTTTTGGAAAGCCTATGACATAAGGAAACGGATTGCACAAGTTTTGCGAAAAAAAATTGCAAATTTTTTGCAAACAACCTGTCAAAGGAAATTTGCACATTTTTAGTTTTTCTTGATTAAAAATCAGGTTATTTAAAATTTTGCAAAATTTTTTGCATATTTGAAATGGCATGGTCAAGGGCTTTTCAAAAATGTATAATTTGTCATTTTTTGGACAAATTTTTTTTTGCAAACATTTTTACTATAAAACTGGATTTTGCGATAAAAAATTCAATTTTCGCAAATTTGCAAATTTTTTTGCAGATTCTAAAAGTAGAGCACAAGAGCTTTCTAATGATGTATCATTTGTCATATTTGGACATAAAACATGGGATTTAGAGGGGGGGGTCAATTTTACCCCCCCCCCCCAGCGTATCCTGGTTTTCAAGTACCCCAGCGGGGATAGGGTTAAATATTTAACCTCAGGGTTAAGTTCAGGTTTAAATTAAGTCAGAAGAAGCGTTTAACCATTAACATAAATTTAAATCAAAACTTTTCGTTCTTTAGTTTTAGACTCAATTCGTCTAATGTACATAAACACAGCAAATGTACAGTGTAATCAGACCGATTAAACCTGATAAGTCGATTTTCAAGCTACGCCCTCGGGTATAAAAGCATTAATGTACATAAAATGGCTAAAATGTCGTCTTCCTATTGTACTATTTCTGAGTCCCATTGTGTATATCTACATAAAAACAGTGCTATAAAGTATAAAAAATACGAGTTTACAAAAAAGTGAGGTTTCGTTGCGAACGCGTTTACTTCAAGTAGTCGTACACTGCTATCTCGTTGTATCCTTCATGCAGTTCATAAGCTTACACTATGTATACCTGGATACCAAGTATCGCCGATGTGGGTTAACACTATTACAATCAAAAAAGATTAGTTTCTGCTTGGAGAAAATGTAATAAATTTATTTTTAATAAAAACGTATTTTCAAAAAATATTTATTTCCATCTGTCGAACCTCTCCTTGAGATCCTCCCTTGAAACCATTCTAGAATCATGATTAATCACCCAGTACTCAAACTCACCACTCTCCGACACAGGTTTCCAGGGTTCAGCGTCGGGAGCTCCGGTCAAACCCTTCTTTCTCTTAGATAGGTTTCCGTTCGGGTTTCCAGATTTGGCAAAGCTGGTCCACCATCTAAACAGGAATATTTTAGAGTGGTATGTCCGATTCACAACAGTACCTTTGTCTAATAATGGACGACTGAGATATCGTTATTTTTCTATTTAAAAATCTAGTGCTGGATTGTAACTGTATACAGTGTACGTACACTCCGTGCCAATGACGTCACATGTTTCCAAAAGTCACTCGATTTTAGGTTTGAATTATAAAGATATCTCAATAATCAACCAAAGCTTTAAAAGGTAGCGTTGAACTGTTGCATGTCAGAGATGCAACTCTACCAAAGAAGGCTCGAACTAGAAACTATGTCAATTTAAAAACTTTTGCTCAAAAATCTACGGACACAAGATTATTTTTAATATTTAGGTTTATTTCTATGTTTGTTTAAGAAAAGGGGGTTTCGGCGTACTTTATAGCATCTATTTACAGATCAAAAAAAGAATAAGACTTTCAATACGACCTGAAGAAACTCTTTCAATATAATGACCTGAAGAAACTCTTTCAATATAATGACCTGAAGAAATTCTTTCAATATAATGACCTGAAGAAACTCTTTCAATATAATGACCTGAAGAAATTTTTTCAATATAATGACCTGAAGAAATTTTTTCAATATAATGACCTGAAAAGACTCTTTCAATATAATGACCTGAAGATATTCTTTCAATATAATGATCTGAAAAGACTCTTTCAATATAATGACCTGAAGATTTTATTTTATTTTCTGTCGCACACACAGTCTTTAATGAACCGATAAGGAAAGAACCAAGTGTATAGCTGAGGGGAACCAAATATTGTTCACCCTACTCGGAAGTTTCATCCTTTGTAGAGAACCCAGTAGAGTTAATAATCTTACTTGATCATATTCTCACTGACTAGTTGATCTTCTTGGGTTGGTAGATGGTGGAGGAGAGGATTAGAAAATAGATAGATCAGTTCATCCACATGACTAGCTCCTAGTCTTAAACTATAACAGAGGATAGATAGATAGATAGATATATTAGCACTTCATGTACAGGGTTACACAAAAAGGATGAGACTGTAAAGAAGACCCAAAACTAAAAAAATATGACGATTTGAAGCTTGCTGTTTCTGCATTTAATTCAGTATTTTGATTTTCAAGAAAATGGACTAAACAAATTCCGTACAATCGTCTCTGAAGTCTCATACTTTGTGGGTATACCTGTACTCTACTTGTCTAACAATATATTCTGTATTCTATGTATTTTAAGTACTCTATGTACACCTAGTACTCTATGTTTCTCTTTGTACTTTTTGAACTCCTACCTGTCAGAGAGTCCAAGGTATCTCTTGATAGTGTTAAAGATGATCTCAGGTAAAGAGGAGGAGAATATATCAGCATAGGAGCTAGATCCGACATAGGAGAATATATACCTAATAATAGGATAATATATACCTAAACATAGGAGAATATACATACCTAAACATAGGAGAATATATATACCAAAACATAGGAGAATATATACCTAAACATAGGAGAATATATAAAACATAGGAGAATATATACCTAAATATAGGAGAATATATACCTAAATATAGGAGAATATATACCTAAACATAGGAGAATATATACCTAAACATAGGAGAATATATACCTAAACATAGGAGAATATATACCAAAACATAAGAGAATATATACCTAAATATAGGAGAATATATAGCTAAACATAGGAGATTATATACCTAAACATAGGAGAATATATACCTAAATATAGGAGAATATATACCTAAACATAGGAGAATATATATCTTTACATAGGAGAATATATACCTAAACATAGGAGAATATATATCTATACATAGGAGAATATATACCTAAACATTCCCCACAGCCAAAGTTGTTATCTTGCTCTTAAAACAAACAAAACCAATTTTCACTATATTTTAAGTTTAACTTTTATGTCGAATAAAGATTTACCTGTAAACTGTATTATTTTGATTTCTAAGTAGCTCCGTGTGTTGATGTGCACTGAGAATAAATCTAGCATCTCCAACCATATCTGTGAATCCTTGATTTATCATTTCTCCGTCCTGGATCCCATTGTATTCCTTCACTAGGTGATGAGCTCTAGAAACCACTTTCTCTTCCAACCCGTCCTCTCCCATTGACAGTGTGTTCAAAACCAGACATTTATCCAGGTTCTTCTTAAAGTACTGATAAAACTCCGTATCCTTGATAAACCTGGTGGAGTAAAGTAAACCCTCGGCTTCGTTAAATCCAATCAGAACTGGGATCTTTGAACTCAACCCTTGTTCAACCAGACTACCTGGATCCTGGGGGATGAATGACTTGTCTGCGTATGGATCGGATACAGGTATCCAAGGACCAGGATTAGACATAAAATAATCAGATCTCATCCCGCACTCGTCAAAGAGCAGGGTTTGCTCTATGATCTGTTTAACCGGAGTATCCTGGAGACAAGGAATCAGAGTACTCTCATCAGTACAGCCGACGGATTCTCCAAGTTTTAAAGCATAATAACTCGGCCTCCTAAGCAGAAACTTTCTTAATCTTAATAGTTTTTAACCTTTGAAAACCTTCTGAGGTTCTACTCCCACTCTTAAATCTCTATCTAATCTAATAAACTCTAAATTGATTTCACTACCGACATATTTTAATCCCTTTCACTGTACGTGTAGTTTCAAGTGACCAGCTCCATGCAAAAATGGCAATGACTTATTTACAAAGGCAGCCTTAAAAGCTTTGTTTAGTTATGAATTAGATTTTCATGTTACTGTTTATTTTTGTTTGTGGTTTCTCTGCAAAAATGACTTGCGCATTTCTTCAAAAAAAGAATCAACAACTTTTAAGACTTGGAAAAATGAAGTTATCTTCCACATTTCTGATCAAATTGAGGTTTAGAGGGTATCGATGTAAATTGGGTATTTTCATCTCTGCCTAAAGGGTCACTTTCAGATTTAGAAAGGGGTGATCAAGAAAAACCCCTTTTAGAAGAACTTAAAAAATTATTTTGTAGACATGAACCTGGAAGGTTTCAGAGCAGAGGTTAAACTGGATCCGCTCTGCAGGATTGCTCTATGGAAGAGACCCTGAGAAGATGGAGAAGTGAGATGGAACCCAACCGACATAGCTCCGGCACTCTCACCCAGTAGGGTCACTTGTTTAGGGTTTCCTCCGAACTCCTTTATATTCTTCTTGACCCAGAGTAGAGCTTCTCTCTGGTCCCATAAACCTTGGTTACCCTGAACATAAACCTTGGTTACCCTGAACATAAACCTTGGTTACCCTGAACATAAACCTTGATTACCCTGAACATAAACTTGGGTTACCCTGAACATAAACCTGGGTTACCCTGAACATTAAAACTTGGAATTATGAAAGAAATGTCGAAACATTTTTGGGAAAAATTAAAGATATAAAAATAAAACTTATAGCTTTTTTTTGTTTGAATATTTATTTTGTGACTCATTATCTTTCTAGCTGGTTGGGGGCAACTTCATCTTAATATTTTCTTAAACAAAAAGTTGACCTGCATATTATCGCTTTCAAGACTTAAGAAGCCTAGGGGACCTAGCCTGTAGTGAAGTGTGACAAGGACAACTTGTTTATCCATGAAGTTGTGTGGACCACACACAGAGGAACCACATTCTCCTACAGCAAACCCTCCTCCATGTACATACACCAGTACTGGGAGTAGAGCACTCTGGGATAGGGTTGGAGTATATACATTCAGATATAGACAATCCTCATTACCAGTTACTCCGATCCCTAAATAAACGAGTCCATTAATATATAATCTTAATGTTGATAATGATTATACTAATGAAAATAAAGATCTTAATGTTGATAATAATTATACTAATGAAAATAATTATCTCAATGTTGATAGTAATTATACTAATGAAAATAATGATCTTAATGTTGATAATAATTATACTAATGAAAATAATGATCTCAATGATGATATCGATACTATTGAAAAAAAGTGATTTCGATGTTGATAATGATTATACTAATGAAAATAATGATATAAATTTGTTGATAATAATTATACTAATGACAATAATGATCTCAATGTTGATAATGATTATACTAATGAAAATAATGATCTTAATGTTGATAATGATTACACTAATGAAAATAATGATCTCAATGATGATATTGATACTATTGAAAATAATGATCTCGATGTTGATAATAATTATACTAATGAAAAAATGATTTTGATGTTGATAATGATTATGCTATTGAAAATAATGATCTCAATGATGATATTGATACTATTGAAAATAATGATCTCGATGTAGATAATGATACTAATGAAAAAGATTATATTAATGTTGATGATATGATACTAATGATATTGATAATCTCAATAATGATAATAATAATTGTAATAACGGTTTCGATTATTATACTAATCATGATTATTATAATTGTAATAGTGAACTCATTATGATAATGATAATAACATTGATCTTAATGATAATGATAATAATTATTGCAATAATGATGATGAAACCAATGAACTTAATGCTACTAATGATAATTATGATCTTGATGATAATTCCAATGATAACATTACTAACGGTTTCTATGTTAATAGTAATAATCCTGATGATGATAAATATTAAAATGATCATGGCATACCTAATACACTAAGCTGAGGGCAGGACGGGGGATTACTTGCAAAATCTAAAACTTTGCTCCACCTTGGTACAAAAGTCATTCATTTTGATTTTAAAATTTAGTTAAAAATAAAAAAAAAATTTAAGTTCCAATAAACATGAGGAAAACGAAGACGACATTAAATCCACCTGTTAAAGTTCTGGAATAACAAAGAATAAACGAACTTTAGTACTTTCAATAAACTGTTTCTTTAAGAGTGTAATGTCCGATCCTCAACGGTACCCTTCAAAGCTTTGTAGCTGGTCACGAATGAAGGAGATATCCATGTGTAACTCTTCAACGACTCATTATCTGTAGGTTCTCTACTAAAGCGACCTGCGCATTTCTGGTGCATATGCAATGGGAGGAAATTATCAGAATTAAACACTTTATCTATATATAAATTTGGCTTGTCTGTTTTTTGTTTGTATCCAATAAACGTCAAAACGGCTGAACCGATCGGGCCCAAATTTTTCGTGGGGCATCTAGGGACCCCAGGGAAGGTTTATGAATGAACAGAATTTCAAATATTTGTCTCCATCAAAATTCGATCTTCATTAAATTTTTGAAAATTGTGAAAATCCACGAATTTTTTTGTGAAAATCCGCTAATTATTTTTGTTTTGTTTTACGATGTACAAAAAGAGAACATGTTCGCTAGTTAGCTAAAAAACGACTCAAGGTTTTAAAATTTACAAGGACAGTCCGTAATACATCGAACATGGTCACAAACTGTCAGTTTTGGAAAATGTGGCCTTTTTTACTTTGTTATGCATAAAAGTAGACATTTTTGAAATTCCAAAACCAATGGAATATTTGTAATTGTCAATTTTCAAAAAAAAATTGTGAATTAACCAACTACAGATAAATATAGAGTTCTCATTTATTTTCCATGCTTATTTAAGAATTAGATTAGGAGCATTTTCCAAAGTTTAAAATTTTTCTTGATATTGTTTAAAGGAAAAAATGAAATCTTTTTTTTTGAATAATATTTACCTATCGTTCTCCTGGAAGGGTTCAGGTAGTTTAAACCTTCTCCTACCAACAGGGGGTTTAGCGTAGGGAATGCCCCTGAAGGAGTGAAAGGATTGTCCCCCCCTAGAGACCCATTGTTCGCCCCTAGCCGGTCCCTGAATATATAAACCTTTAATTAATGCTATTATTGACAATCTATATATTGACAATACGATTTATAATACCTTAATATTACTCCCCCCCCCCTCTCTTATACTACCCTACCCCTTATTAATCCTAACTACATTATTACACTTAAATTACCCCACCCCCTCCCTTCCCCTCCTGACACTATTATTTCAACTCAACATTCAGAATGTACAATTACTAAAACACATGGATCATTTACAGTATTAGTCAAATAAATGAAATAATATATGTTTTTTGTATAAAAGTCGAGTACAGTTAAAAAGTTTGAAAATAAAGGAGTGGCAGTGTGTACATTGTACAGTAAAGGAATGGTAGTGTGTACACTGTACAGTAAAGGAATGTGAACAGCACATATACGAGAATATAATTGTACAGTACAAGAGTTTGTACAGTACTTGAGTGTGTACTAATAAGTCTATAAATGTTTACAGTACATAAGTGCTTACACTGTACTTTGGTACAGTGTTTTACGTTTGTACAGGACATGAGTAAATGTGTAAGAGCGTACAGTACACGAGCGGGTACAGTAAATGAGTGTGTACAGTGCATGAGTGTGTACTGGTACATTTTTTAAGAGTTTACAGTACGTGAGTATGTATTGGTACATTGTATAAGTGTGTACACTCTACAGTACATGAGTATGTTATGGTATAGTGTTATAAGGATGTACAGTAAAAGAGTATGTATTGGTACAGTGTATAAGTGTACAGTACCTGAGTTGGTTCTTTTACAGCATACGTGTGTATAGTACATGAGCATTGAGTATGTTCTTTTACTGTGTAGTGTATTCACTACATGAGTATGTTCTGGTACAGTGTATAAGTGTGTACAGTACATAAGTATGTTCTGGTACAGTGTATAAGTGTGTACATTTTACGGTTGATGAGTATGTACTGGTATAGTGTATAAGTGCGCACATGCAGTACATAAGTATGTACTGGTGCAGTGCATAAGTGTGTAGAGTACACGAGTTTGTGCTGGTACAGTGTAAAAGTGTGTACAGTACATGAATATGCAAATGTACAGTGTATAAGTGTATACAATAAATGAGTACGTACGTGTACAGTGCACAAGTGTGTACAGTACATGATTAAAAATGAGTATATAAACCTGTTTAGTTTCCACTATAGGATTATGGTTTCTAAACCCTGGGAAGAGTCTGAAGAAGTTGGTTGGCCCGAAGTAAAGAACCAGGGTAGATATTGTAAAATAAACTGTAATTATAATTTCTTAAAATAGAGAAATAAATTAATTTACAAGAATGAAAGGTTTATATACAGGGTTTCCAACAAGACTTGACCCTAGAATAATCGACGACTAGAAGGTCCTCTAATTAATCTTTGAAATAGTTTGAGGCATTCTTTGGTCACCCTGCTTTAACATGCATCATTCTTGAAACGATTATTACAAAATTATCTCAGGCCTGGCAATTTCAAATGTGCTGTTAACATTATCGGAGATTTTGTTCAGATTTCAATTTATTTAATAAAACCAAAAGTGAACAAAACTCTTCATATCTTCGGTAATATTGAAAGTTGAGAGCTCAAAAATGGCAGACTTCTGAAACTGAGTTTACGAATCAATGCCGCAAATTATTTTTAAGAAAAAGACGACATCCGATTCGTTTTGAAAATATCATGTTTCCTGGGACACCCTGTAGTACCAGGCGTTTCATAAATAACTTGCTGTTCTGAATTTTTTACAAGAATTTCTTTTCATGTTTTAAAAATATTTTTGCACTTTGTTTAATAGATTAGAATATTCTCAATTCTGTTCATGCAAAAATGATCTCCTTGTTCATGTCAATGAAAAAAAACATCCCTTTTCATATTTTTAAAAGAAAAGATAAACTGAGAAGTCATTATGTTTAGTAAATACTTAAAATGGCTTTATTTTAATCTTCTTTAATAGTGAAATTAGTTTCAGTTTTCAATCTATAGCCTTTGAACTATATATTTTTGCGGTGCATGTGTTTATGTTATGTTTATATTTTATAAATTGTTTAAATTAAAGAAAACTTACTTATCAAGTTTTGATTCGTTGTCAACATGTTCATCATGAACCTAGATTTTTAATTCAGTTTTCAGCACTCATTCATACATCACTTTCATGTTTTATCACTTTAATTTATATGTCAAGCTGTATCACTTATATACCAACCACCACTCAATTCTCGGATGTAATTGTAAGTACTGAAGAGTGAAGAATAAATACAGTTCACCCTCAACCTGAGAGTGATAACAATAGGTATGCAGGGAGCGTACACTTTGTAAATATACAATGACCCCGACTTAAAACTTTACGAAAAACTTGAAAAAAATAGAAAATCATTAAGACAGCTGTGAAAACTAACTTTAAAAACGTATTTTTGACGTGAAATTAACGTTTCATTTTTAAATTTTTCCTTTGTACACAATAACCCCATCCTACTTTAATTATATCATATACCCAGGCCAGTCTGCCTTGATTCTTAAACCCGGCTTTAAATTCGGCTTGAATCTGAGAACGCCATATGCAACTCTGGGTTTCAGCTGCGGTGGCGTTAGTCCAGGGGCGTATCCAGAAATTTGTCTTGGGAGGGGGCTCAGCACCCGTTGGGGCCTGAAAACCCCCTGAAATAGATTTCACTAGTACCCCCACAGCAACCCCCTGAATACTCCCGTGAACATAACGTTAGATCTGGAATAACAAAGAATAAACGAACTTTAGTACTTTCAATAAACTGTTTCTTTAAGAGTGTAATGTCCGATCCTCAACGGTACCCTTCAAAGCTTTGTAGCTGGTCACGAATGAAGGAGATATCCATGTGTAACTCTTCAACGACTCNCAAACTCAGGATTTACAGATCTTTAAAAAGTTTAATATGTCTCAAATGAATCCGAAAGAAATTTTCCACAACACTGCATACTCAGTTCAACTACCTTACATAGCCGGTCACTCCCTTTAAAATGAATGATTATAAATAACTAGCTAAAGTGTCCGTAGAAGATAACAAATCTAGAATTTTGAAAAAAAAAAAAAATGTTTTAAGCCTTTGTTACTCCCCAGTCCACGGGCAGTGGGCACCCATGGGTTCCCTCAAAAAATGTCAGACCATTCGGTCCAGCAGTTTGGCCAGCTATAGCTTACATATAAATATATTCGAGCGAAAAGCTTTATTATTAACTATCTAAAGGGCCCGGCGTGGCGTTGACTGACAAATTTTTTTTTGAAAAAAAACCGCGATTTTTTAGCCTTTGTTACCCCCATAGGCTACCCATGCATGGGTTCCCTTAAAAAATGTTAGCCCATTCGGTCCAGCTGTTGGGCCGGCAAATGGCAATAGGGAACATACATACGAATGTCTTGTTTTATTATATAGATAATAAAAATTATACACATTAAAGACAGTTTGTCGTTATTTTCTGTGTCTTATCTTTTCAAACATCAAAACTATAATTGTTTATTCTTTAGCTAGGGCATAGAAGAAACGAATCAAACATATTAAGTACAAACACCCTAAAGAATAGATTAATAACAAAATAAATGTCTAAGATATAAGAAAAGTAAGTTTCTAAGATATAAGAAANAGGGTATCTTATGCCATTATAAGAAAAGGGGATTTAGAGTAAGGTCCTGAGTTACATTACATTAGCTGAATCTTTACTATTCCAACCCCATCCGATATGAAACCATCTTTTATATAATCTGAGCTCTGGTTGGAATACCTAGGACTCGGGATACATCCATACTGGAGAATTATACACCACTGAATTATATATATATATTATATATATGTATATAGTGTTTTACACACTTAATAGGAATTATTCATATTTATATACCTCTTTACATGCATGATAATATTAAGATTCAGAAAGGTCTGGAAACATTCTTGTAAAATGAAAATGCTTTCCGTTATTACCTTGCTCTTGAAAAATAGTCTGAAGACTTGGTTGATTTACAGATTTTTGGCTTGATGTGGGTTTTCTGCTCATTTCAAGCAATTGTTAGCTTTCTCCAGCTTATTTGTAAATATTTTGATAGAATCTGGGTTGAAACTGGGCCAGACACATAAAATCTAGAATCCATTCCATTAAAACTGTCTGGGTACAGCAGAAGCAGGACACAACTTCTATATACAGGACATAATTCCTTTAAAAAGGACACAACTTATAATACAGGACATAATTCTTTATAAAAGACACAACTTCTATATACAGGACATAATTCCTTTATAAAAGACACAACTTCTATATAAAGGACATAATTCTTTATAAAAGACACAACTTCTATATAAAGGACATAATTCTTTATAAAAGACACAACTTCTATATAAAGGACATAATTCCTTTATAAAAGACACAACTTCTATATACAGAACATAATTCCTTTATAAAAGACACAACTTCTATATAGAGGACATAATTCCTTTATAAAGGACACAACTTCATTATACAGAGCATAATGTCCTTATAACCGGAAACAATTCCTTTATACAGGACACATTTCCTTTATACATAACGTAATTCTTTACACAGGAGAAAATACCCTTATACAGGACAGAATTCCTTTATACAGCATGTAATTCTTTTGTACAGGAGAAAACTTAATGCAGGATATATTTATGCAAATCAGAAATACTTTGGGATATAGAATGATGACCAGACTGTAGAATAGGAAGACGACAGTAAAGCAACACTTAAGTGCATTTGGTGTTGTTACAAAGCAAATAGCTTTACTATTAAGTTATTAAATCAAGTATTAAGTAAAAATGAGTCTGTTTACACTGCACATTTGAACATTTAAGGTCAAAACTTGAGTCTAAAAGTCGACTTCCTATTCCAGAGTTGTCTGGTTATCACTGTATGACGCAATATCCCGTAATATACGCTTTATGTATTTATATGTGTAAATTTCTTTTAAATGATCAAATTATTTTGATTTGTTTGAATGCCGATGATAAAGGTACTTTTCACTGAATATTAAGTTTAGTATTTTGGACGAGAGGTTGCGTGATTTTAAAACCAACCATTTTCTAATAATAGTAGATTATCTAGTACTGCAAACTACACTGCTGCTCCTTTAAGGTTTTAGATTTTTTAATGGTTTTTTTCGTTTTCAGAAAATCTTACAAGGGACTGTTAGCGTATATCTAATAATCCTTTAAGTTTTACGCACCCTTTAACCCTTTTTTGGGTAAAAATGTTTAGCACAAGTCAAATGTAAGGTTTAAAGCTAAATTCCATTGTACAAAAAATCTAACCTTTCATGGTTCTACCAGGTACCTGGGGTTAATAATATATTTGGTATATTGCCTAAAAAGATGATGGAGTATCTTAGTTTTGCCCTTGTATTACTATATAAATTCTCTTATATGATAATTCTGTATTCCCATTTTTCTAAGGGCAGACATAAAGGGTTATTCTGCAATGCTCGAAAAATGGTAGAATATCACGGGAAATTAGTATTGAAAATATTATCTGAAAAACTAGACAATACTGCAAGAGTGCAAAATATATCAGCCTAACCCTATGTTTTATTTCTTCAGTTTAGACCTTACCATGTTTTTATGAGCAATTTACAAAAAAAACAGGATTTCGAAATCAATTTATGAGATATTTATAAAAGATGAAAAGGGCAAAACTAAGATACTCGATTACTTTTTTAGGCTGTACACAAAATAGTTCGTTCTCCTTATGAATCTGTTGCCTTAGGTACCTGGGAGAACTCTGAAAGGATAGATGTACAATTGAATTTCTCTTAAAAACCTACCTTTGACTAGTGTTCGCTTTATTATGTTAGTTCAATCAAGGGGTTTTATGATGAATAAGTGACGGGTCAAAATTATTTAACAACTATAGATAGGTCCTTATATAATTAGCAAGCTGTAGCATTTCACAATAATTTGACCAATTAAACATAATTTTTTTCATTTTTTCCTTTTTTTGGTGGATGCCTTGGTGTTATTTAGATGATCTCGAGCAGATATAATTTTTAAACTCCATTATTTTTAAATTTAGAAAATTCTTTCTGTATTCTGTATACGAAACTAATATTTTCATTATTTGGATGTAAAAAGCCAATTCAGATTCAGGACCTTGGTTCAAGAATTTTAATAAGAAACCCCAGAATCTCATCTTTTATATTTCTAGATTTTTCAAGTAATTCACGGCGCTTTGTGGTCAATGATTAGTTTAAGAGACCAAATTTGGAAAATTCAAGACCAAGCTACTTTATAATCTAAAAGTCTAAGAAGAGATAAAACCAACTACGTAAGTTCTTTCTAAACCCAAGTCTAAGTCTGAAGATCTTAAAATCAGCTTTGAAGACAGTTCTTTATTGCTGAGATTTTTAGGCTGTTGATAGTTTCTTCATATATTTGTAATAAATATTGTTTTCCAATAAAAACAAATTACCGGACATTTATGATAATGCTGTTCAAAGGATACAAATATATCTACAGAGCTGAAAACCTTAGAATGGAAAATCCTTAATCCCGATCGGTTAATTAATCTGGATAATTCATAACAAGAGGAGAATAAGCATTATTTAATCTGAAGATTAAGAAAAAGAGAGGATCAAGCATTAATCCCGATATTCAGCTCTGATTATATATTAATTAAAAATAACAAATAGAAAACTAGATGTCGTCTTCCAAAGATTTAGGGGTTTTTCGTTCACAATAACCCTAAGGCAGCAGCCCAAAGAAGTTAAGCGCATGCGGCGTAGAACAGGCTCTCTCTCTGGAGCATGTGCGTAACCCCTTTTGGCTTCTGCCTCAGGATTATTGGGAACAAAACCCCCTAAATCTTGAAAAGACGACATCTAGTGTTCTATCTGTCATTGTTAATTAATCTATGGCTTTAACCCTTAATTGAATAGAAGAGTAAATATTTCTCATGTTTTTTCTTCATATTTCCACAATTTTTCACACATGATTTTCACCCAGCGTTTTCCAACCATTGAATTGAATTTAACACCAATTATTGAGATTATTTATTATTTATCGTGAACCATCCATCATGGGACGGGATGGTTCAGGGTTGGATAAACTGCACAGGGTTGGATCTATCCAGGTTTACAGATCTATTGTTTTCAAAACCATTAATGTTTATTTTGTAAATATGCTAATCTTTAGATGTAAATATAATTGTATATTCATACCGGAAATTTTTGCATTGAAATGAATATGCATTTTTTCTTTTTCATTCCGAATCGATATTTTCACTACACAAATTTCTTTTATTTTGCATATGGTTTGTATAAAATCGATCGTTTTCGGTTCTCCCAAAATGTATTTCAAAGTTTAACAAATTGTACCATCCCTCTTTAGATTTTTTTTGTCTTTTTATAGTAAAACCATATATTTTAGATATTTTAAGGCCACATGATCATAAATAAATTGTCCTGGTCGTTTTTAGCCAATTCAAATAATGTCATAAATTCTGTCAATTTTCTTTCTTGTCTCTGCTGTTATTAATCGGGCATGCAACCTTTTACAATAGCGCTATTATTTATAGTAATATATATTGGTGTATAGTGTATATAGTTTATAAAACACAGTTTTTGCTTGAATTCCTTAATACTCCCCAAACCAATCAAATTCTCATTAATTGATTGAAGCTACAGGGGCACCAAAGTACTTGGATATAGGGATATTTGTCGGAAATGTAGACCACAACCACTTTTTACTGGTATTGTATCAATCATAACAATTGAATTTTCATCAAATACAGAAATCTATTCCAGTTTGTGTTCCAGCAAATAATTGATAAAAAACATAATTTATTATTTTAATAGATAGTATTAAATATCTATGTTTGTTTTGCATTAGTACTATATATATTATTCTGCCTTACAAGTTTAAAGATAAACGTAAAGTTATGACTTAGATATTATTCTGTCGATTTCTATTTTGTAAATTGTCATTTCTGAAATTCTAAAATTATGTTATTTACATTTTTTTCTTTGTATTTTTAGACTTGAAAAATGGTCTGACCAGAAATTAGAAAAATAATGATCGTATGGTTATCTCTGTGCCCGAAGGGTTGAATTATTGAAATCGACAATCAAAATCATATTAATTGAAACAGTTAGATCAATCAAGGGGTTTTTATCAATATATTTAGGAGCACGATACTTTCTGATTACGGTTTCTAGGTTACAAAGGAATTAATCGGTGAAAATATTCATTTTTTGCAAGAAAAATTCTGCATCCACCAACCCCCCCCCCCCACCCTACCCCCGTTCCTGGAAATTCTCAAATCACAAAAAAACTTGAAGAATTTGTCAATAGTATATGTGACTTTTTTTGAACCGTAAAAAGATAACTGTTATTTTTTAAGATTTCAACGTACTCCAAAACAAAAATTGTGTGTTTGTGTGTGATGTTTGTGTCTGTATGGGATGTTTGTGTCCGTATGTGAGGCGAGTGTGTGTATGTGTAAAATGTGTGACAGTCCTGCGTGACAAGACACATTAGAAGAGTAAACGAAGAGAAATAATTAAAATTTCTCAGTCAAAATATAACATTAACCATCATTAACTACCTTCTGAGCAAATTATCTTTAAAACTTGAGCTCCAGGTGAAATAATACATAGCTGAGCAATATTGTAAATGTAAAATCAACAATTTTTAATAAGTATGGGATGATTTGATCTGTATTCTGATTGTATTGGAGAAGAAGGATGGGTTGGTTTAATCTATATCCTGATCTAGATAGTACAGGAGAGGAAGGATGGGATGATTTGATCTGTATTCTGATTGTATTGATAGTATTGGAGAAGAAGGATGGGTTGGCTTGATCATATCCTGATCTCGATAGTATAGGAGAGGAAGGATGGGTTGGTTTGATCATATCCTGATCTCGATAGTATAGGAGAGGAAGGATGGGTTGGTTTGATCTATATCACGTGGATTTAACGGTTCTGTCAATATTCCATAAAGCTGTGACTTTCGATCACAATTTGACCCATTAAACATAATTTTTTAGTCTTTTTTCTTAAATACTTTTTTGTCGGCATATGCATTTTGAAGAATAAACAAATCCGTAAGGTAAAAGATTGTTGAATTATAGAACAAAACACGTTTGATTTTAAATAGAAGAAACCGAATGCTGCTTACACTGGTTAGTCCGGGGTGATATTCTGATCTAGATAGTATAGGAGAGGAAGGATTGGTTGGTTTGATCTATATCCTGATCTAGATAGTATAGTAGAGGAAGGATTGGTTGGTTTGATCTATATCCTGATCTAGATAGTATAGTAGAGGAAGGATTGGTTGGTTTGATCAATATCATGATCTAGATATAATGGGAGAAGAAGGATGGATCGGAGGTTTGGGCTGGTTTGACCTAGGAGGAATGGATCTCCAGGAGAAAATTGATACCAAGGAACATCCTCTATCACACTGGGAGAAAGAGGTTTGTTTTATAAATAGCATTTATTTCGAAACTAGAAATTTTTCTTTAAAATAAGATTTAAAATGTTTTCTATTTAGACTCATGCGCTGCTTGTTTTGCTGGCGCAGAAAGGTTTGACCAGCACAGATGAGCACAGGCGAGCCATGGAGAGTTTACCTGCATATACTCATATGTCTTATTATCATAGGTACAGAGTTTACCTGCATATACTCATATGTCTTATTATCATAGGTACACCTAGGGTTTTCCGAAATACATGAGACTTTCACAGCGGCCATAACATATGCAATAGTACTATCTAAAGAAAAAATTTAGGCCTGAAAAATGCCCTTTTTATGACTAAAATGGTTTATTTGACTAAGGAAAAAAAGAGATTACAACTGGAGGGAACCGTAAATTTAAGGCAAAACATTAAAAATATTTTTTAATTCATCCGGTCCTGAAGAGTAATACATTATATAATAATAACATTATAATATTAACATTAAATCTTAAGAATCAGCGAAAATTATTCAAAAATTTAAAAATCCAAGTATGTACTGTTACTCCGCGGTTACAAAATGCAGTAAAAAATATTTGCAAAACAGTTTTTACGGATTATACACTTTAAACTGTGTAATTAAGAAAAGTATTTCTATCTGTAAATGATACACATGTATAAGATCATTATTTTCAACTCTTTCAGTTCTTTAATCCCTCTCCTGTCAGAAATTTAAATTATTAATGTGGCTCATTTAAACAATTTTGTTTGTTTCAGATGGGCCGCTTGTATTGCAGCTGTATGTATTGAACGAAATACATTTACTAAGGTTAAAGGGACAGCTGATAATTTTCAAGAGATCCTTCATTTAAAGAGCCCTATACTCGATTTTCATAAAATCTCTATTTACCATTGTTTAAGCAAATAAGCTAGATAAACCCTTGTTTTTCGATCTGAAAGTTGATAACTTTTTTTTCTTCTGATTTTCTATAAAAATTACTCAGATATATGTTTAAAGGGTGGCCTTTTAATCGGGGTTGTAACTCTGTAAATGACGGGTTACTTGAAATTATGCCGAGAGTTCCTTTAAATCCGTATTTCTTAAATATTTTTAACAATGTTTTACTATTTGTTTTTTCATATAATTATTATAAAATAAAATGATACGAGGTATAGTTAATAATTTTCATCTTTTTCTCCTTTCTCCATCTGCACGTCCTTTCTCTATCTCTTTTTTTGCTTCCCTTTGCCCGTCCATTTATGGCGCTGCTTTTGAAATAATGTTTACGAGTCGCTGTCTTTGCGCCATTATAAGACAGTGCAAGATCACACTTAATTATCGTAAATATATTTCTCACTATTTTTTATAATTGTTTTAGAATGAGTTAGATGAATACCTAGGTTTAAAACTTGAGACTAAGCTCGAACCTTCCTTTTCTCCAGGTTTAATTTCTCCTATACAGGGTTACCCATGAAGTTATCTTATAAACATGTATTATTCCATGCATTTTTTTCAAAATTATGTAGCATAGAAAACTTTATATAAAGTGAAAGCTTTTTACCTTTAGATTGTCATATTTTAAGATTTTAAATTCGGCGTTTAAATCTCATCTTTTATGGGTAACCCTGTATCTTAATGAATAACTAAATGTACCATGCGTACATTGACTTGTAAATTATATGTAGGGAGTTTGGTTCGAATAAAGATGGAGGATTCAAGGATTCGTTGGAGGAAACCTCATCTCAGGGTTCCAGGTGAAACCTTATCTCAGGGTTCCAGGTGAAACCTTATCTCAGGTTCCAGGTGAAACCTTATCTCAGGGTTCCAGGTGAAACCTTATCTCAGGGTACCAGGTGAAACCTTATCTCAGAGTTCCAGGTGAATCCTTATCTCAGGGTTCAAGATGAATCCATATCTCAGGGTTCCATGCATATCTTTATCTTAGGGTACCAGGCAAAACCAAATCTCAGGGTTCCAAATGAATCCTTATCTCAGGGTTCAGGTGAATCCATATGTAAGGGTTCCAGGTAAATCCTTATCTCAGAGTTCCAGGTGAAACCTTATATCAGGGATCAAGTTAAAACCTTATCTCAGGGTTCCAGGTAAATCGTTATCTCGGGGTTCCAGGTGAAACCATATCTCAGGGTTCCAGATGTACCCATATCTCAGGGTTCCAGGTGTAACCCTATCTCAGGGTTTCAGGTGAAACCTTATCCCAGGGTTCCCGGGGATTAACCTTATCTCAGGTTTCCAGGTGAAACTATATCTCAGGGTTTTAGGCAAATTCTTATCTCGGGGTTCCAATTTAAACCTTAGTTCAGGGTTCCAGGTTAATCCTTATCTCAGGGTTCCAGGTAAATCCTTATCTCAGGGTTCCAGGTAAATCCTTATCCCAGGGTTCCAGGTTAAGCCTTATCTCAGGGTACCAGGTTAATCCTTATCTCAGGGTTCCAGGTTAATCCATATCTCAGGGTTCCAGGTAAATCCTTATCTAAGGGTTCCAGGTTAATCCTTATCTCAGGGAAAGTCGTGTTATTGGAAACACAAATATTTAAAAACCTAATAAAACCATGTCATCTTTTCTTTTCTTCGTATATAAAATATCACAATCCTACCGCACTGGGGCCAGAGTTTGTTGCAAGAAATCATTTCCTTTATTTCTAAACTAAACCATAAAGCATAAGATGTGAGATAGTTGTGAGCTTAAAAGCTATAAAATATGCTTTATTATAAATTATTTAAATATTTAAGGATACATATTTGGATCGTCTGGTGAGATAATCAAGCATTTGGGAAACTTTCCGAACCCTGAGCAGGCAGCGTTCTACACTGATACAACCACTATCCAACCTCTCTATCTAGTTCAGGTTGGATATATTTGAACCCAGGTTCTACACTGTTACAATACTATCCAACCTATTTATCTAGTTCAGGTTAGATATATTTAAACCCAGGTTCTACACTGATACAATACTATCCAACCTATTTATCTAGTTCAGGTTAGATATATTTAAACCCAGGTTCTACAATGATACTACCACTATCCAACCTATTTATCTAGTTCAGGTTAGATATATTTAAACCCAGGTTCTACACTGATACAATACTATCCAACCTATTTATCTAGTTCAGGTAAGACACATCTCATTTGTGTAACCTAGAAAATTAATCCTCCATTTAAAGAGGTTAATGCCCGATTCACAATGTGCTCTTAAAACCTTTATCTTTTTTTTCTTGAAAAGATAAACTTTATCAATGACTTTCTTTTCTAAGCTGCATAAATCCTAAAGTCACTTTTAAATGAAACCACAATTAAAAAATAATCAATTTTTAGATAGACGAACGATGATATCTCAATCCTTTTTTGTGTCAAACACAGATTAAATACAGCACCGTTATTATCGGGCAAAGAATTCTCTAAATGGAGGGTAACTTTAAAATTCCCTGAACAGTCCCTTTAATATCTTCAATTAGTTGAGAATGAACGAGGTTTGGAAGAATTATCCAGTATACGGAGACAGCACAGATCTCCTAACTGTAGAGGTTTATGAACCCTGGTTAGAACTGCAGAATGAGAACTCAGGTTCAGATTTACAGGATGAGAAGGTGAGCAGAGATTTCCCGGAGCATCACGTCCTGGATCATGGAGATCATGTTCATGATGACAGGTATAGTAATCAATTAATAAATTGATTGATTTATCATCAACAAACTTTATAGATCAATTATTGATCGAAAAATTGAATAATTGATCTGTGTTATCTCCAGGAAAGATACAGAGGTAGAATCTGTACGAAGAGAAGAATGTGAGGAGAGAAAAGATGAATATGGAGTAGTACTCAGCAGAGCAGTTCTGAACCTTCTAGGTTTATTGCTATAAAAAATCTGAAAACTGTGAAAATACTTTTTTGTTTGATTATGAAACGTCACGAGGGATATTTTTAACGGTTATTTTTATAAAAATTTGCATTAATTATTTTCAAAATCCTTGGCGCATTTTTTTAATCAAAGAAAGAACGAAAAGAACAAACTTTCCACATTTCTGAATGCCATTGTGCAAGGATTTCAAAACATGAATACAAAACGAACATTGATTTTCTGAAAACCATTGTAGGAGGATTTCAAAACATGAATACAAAACGTACATTGATTTCTTAGATCTTAAGATCTGAGACATTTTAAAAATCTAGTTCATAAAAACGTCACATAATTATATGTTTTTCTTCTTCATTATATACACACTTTAGAGATTTGTTTTAGTATCTAAGGGTCTGGTGAACAGAGCTGAGGTTCAGGCGAGCATTGAGAAACGGGACAAAATATCCGGTCTTAACCTTGGTCAAAGGATTGTCGTGAAAGCTTGGATGGATCCTGAGTTTAAGGTTAGAAAGATCTACAGCCTGTTTAAACTACTAAAAATCGAAATCAAATAAATCATTAAATTTTTTTTTTAAATTATTAATTTGTATCGAGAAAAATTGCATGGTTCTTATTACAAGATATTAAAGAATTCTTATTTGTTCAATGGCTAAACTTTTAAATTGAAAGATTTAAGACTAAGCGAGAAATATGAACAGATATAAAATACAAAAGTTTTGACCTTAGGTTAGACTACTGGAGGATGGTAACAAAGGAGTTGCTGAGTTAGGATTAGAAGGTTCTAATCCTAACGCAGAAACGAAGCTTGTAGTTGTGGAGAACACGGACCAGGTTTTATTTTTATTTTGAAAATTATCTTTATTATTATTACCATAAACATCATGGAACATCATGTAGTTGTGTGTACTCTATGTTTAGGAACATCATGTAGTTGTGTGCACTCTATGTTTAGGAACATCATGTAGTTGTGTGTACTCTATGTTTAGGAACACCATGTAGTTGTGTGTACTCTATGTTCCTGCTACCCATCGGCAATCTTAGGAACACTCTCTAGCCTAATTGTACAATGTACTATATGTACATATAAAATAACCGATAAAACCAGATTATGAGAAGTTTGAATTTTTAGGGGTGAAATATAAAAACAATAAATAAAGGACGGATAGAGAGGGTTATATTTTCTCCAGGTTTACCTCCAGCTTGGTATAAGTCCAGATCTTATAGAGCTAGAACTGTCAGGTGAAAATACGAATATCTTTTAGTTTATTAAGTACATTCAGTACATGACCAGTACATTCAGTACATTCATTTCATTTAGTACACTCAGTACATTCAATGCATTCAGTACATTCGGTTCGTAATCTATGCTTTAAAGGGAGTGACCGGCTATATGTAAGGTAGTTGAACTGAGTATGCGGTATTGTGGAAAACTTCTTTCGGATTCATTTGAGACATATAAAACTTTTAAAAGATCTGTAAATCCTGAGTTTGAGCGCAAATTCGACATTCAAAACTCCTACTTTGGGGGTGGATACGTTTTCAGAATTAGTTTTTTTTAAATTATTAAATAACGACAACGAAAAATAAAGTAAAAATTATATAGTAATCTGATTAAATGGTTAGGAACATATTTCTCAAAAGAAATTTGTCCATAAATCAATGCTACAATCGATTATTTCGTTTTCATTATTAATTTGAATTTCTTTTTTCTTTGAATTTCTTCGCTTCTTCAAATGTTGTCTTTTCAATAATAATTCTAGAAAATCTGCGGAGATCTTTGTGAATAATGAGGAGCTAGAATAATGAGAAAATAGAAACTAATAATCGAACAAGATTACTTATTTTCGATGATAAGATTTATTTTTATTTTCTCAACATTTTCCTATACATGACGTCTGTAGTTTATTGTAGAACTTTTTTTCATTTTATGTCGTCGGTATTTAATAATTTAAAAAAACTAATTCTGAAAACGCATCCACCCCCAAAGTTGGAGTTTTGAACGCCGAATTTGAGCTCAAACTCAGGATTTACAGATTTTAAAAAGTTTAATATCTCTCAAATGAATCCGAAAGAAGTTTTCCACAACACTGTGTAGTACTTAGTTCAACCATCATACATAGCCGGTCACTCCCTTTAAATCTATCTTTATCGCGATGTCAATAAATTAATAGTTTTAACTATAGTGAATAGAATATATATATATATTCTATTCTCTTTGGTTTTAACCTGCAATTACGTTTATTTACATAATTTTGTGAAGATTATTAAAAAATTAAAACACTTCTGAATATTTAGACATTTACTCTATAACAAACGACTAAAATTTAAAAAATAATTAAACATTAGATATTGATATTTTAAGATAAAAATACTTTTTTTCATAAACCTAAATCAACGTTTTTTACTTTATAAAGAGAACCTCGGAAAGTGTTGTTTGAGTTTGGTTTGGAAATATCTCCAAGTGTAAGAATAGTGGTTCACGACTCTACAGCAGATTGCAGGTTAATAAACAGAGACAAAATTTAAACCACGTCGCTCAACCGCCAAAACCGGTTCCAATTGAGAACCGGCTCAAATCTCGAAACACTTAATACAATTGCAAGTAGAACCAACCTCAAATTTGAGACGGCTCAAATTCTTTAAATTCTGCCTCAGAAGTGAGAACTTGTTTTGTAAATCTTGCGATTAAGCATTTGATCTTCATCTTATGAAGACCCGTGTCCGAATTTAATGAGTTTGAGCCGTCTTAAATCCGCTAAAAACTGGTTTCAATGGAGCGCCGGGTTAAATCTTAAAACATTGAATACAAGTGGAACTAACCATATTTGAGCCGCGGCTTAAATTTAAGCCGCGACTCAAATTCTTTAAATTAGGCCTCTGTACGCATTAATTTAATTCTTCTTCGGTATCCGTGGTACTCAGATCCTTCTGGGATAACATTTATTGAAGGTTCAGCACTTACCCTCTTAAAAAGTATCCACATTGAATTTCGAGATCAAGATGAACGATCTACTCAAACCTCAGGGTTACCTGCAAAATATGAGACTTCAGAGCCGACTGGAGGGAAATGGTTGGCTCTTATTTGTTGGGTGTAAGGTTCCCTCCAGCTTCAGTTTTAGCCAAATAATTCATAATACCATAATCTAAATCGTTGTTGTAGCTTTAAACGAATTTTTTACGTAAAATTTGATATGTAAAAATCATGGAATCGAATCAAGGAAAGGAGTATGAAATAGAAATGACATACAAATTACGTGGCCTACACCGGACTGACATGAGTGACCAGCATTCGGTTTCTTCTATTTGAAATCAAACATGTTTTGGTTTTTAATTCAATAATCATTTCCTTTGCGGATTTGTTTATGTTATACATTTTCATTCAAAATGCATATGCCAACAAAAAAGTATTTAAGAAAAAGGGCTAAAATATTATGTTTAATGGGTCAAATTGTGATCGAAAGTCACAGCTCTCTGGAATATTGACATAACCGTTAAATCCACGTGGGCCCGCCCTACCATTTGATTATACATGCTCTGTAGACGATACTCCATTTGGTTAAGAAATATTTGTCTGATGTACAATTACCGCGTATACAATAACTTATTCTGAATATTTCTTATTCAAATGGAGTACCCGTCTGCAAAGCACGTATAATTATATGGTAGGGCGGGCTGCGTCATTTGTATCTCCCTTCTATTCCATACTCCTTGATTCGATGCTATGCGTTTTAGTTTATTTTATCTTCAATTAAATGCACATTCTTATAATCATAGCCACTCACGCATATCTATAGCTAATCTCTGATGCCAAATATTTTGTCTTATCTCTATAATATATAAAATCTATGTATCTCGTACTCCCAGCGAGACCGGAAGGAACCTCTGATGCCTAATATCTTGTCTTATCTCTATAATATATATATATCTAGGTATCTCGTACTCCCAGCGAGACCGGAAGGAACCTCTGATGCCAAATATTTTGTCTTATCTCTAAAATATATAAAATCTAGGTATCTCGTACTCCCAGCGAGACCGGAAGGAACCTCTGATGCCTAATATCTTGTCTTATCTCTATAATATATGAAATCTAGGTATCTCGTACTCCCAGCGAGACCGGAAGGAACCTCTGATGCCTAATATCTTGTCTTATCTCTATAATATATGATATCTAGGTATCTCGTACTCCCAGCATGCAAGACCGGAAGGAACCTCTGATGCCTAATATCTTGTCTTATCTCTATAATATATTATATCTAGGTATCTCGTACTCCCAGTGAGACCGGAAGGAACTGAAGGATTGACTCAAGATGAGCTTGAAGCAGTAATAACAATGTTAAAGGGACTATCAACGTAATTTCAAGTTTCATTTCATTTTACAAAAAGGGTACGTCCGATTCACATCCGTACCTTTAAACCTGTGTCTAAGCAAACATGAAAAAGATAGTTTTTAGTTTTTATGCAGTTTTTATATCAATTCAATGAAGACGACTTTTTGATAAGCTGTTTTCGAATCAAAAGTCTACAAGTAATCAAAGTGAAGCTTTTTTAATTGACAGCTTCTTTTGACTTCTGCGTCTAAGTGTATTCATTCTGTTTTACAGCTTGACATAAATCAAAATTAAAACTGAAAGTCGTCTTTGTTGTATTGATAAAATCGCCTACCACTGTATTAAATATCAAACATTCATTGTGGATTTTCTAGAATGGTTTGCGGATTTTATGCAGGAGTAACTCTGTTTAAAGGGACTGTAAAGGAAAAATTAACGATACCTATAAGACATCTATCTTATGTTCCTGTCTCGAGAAATTGAAATAAAACTGTGTCAAAATTATACAAAATTCATAGATACACAGTTTTGTATAGAAGTAGTAGGTTAAAACAGATGATATTCAGCAAATATGCAACCAATCTGAAAACTATTATATACCACAAGAGCCTGAGAATCTCAGGTTTGCTCCTATCATAATTTCTTCATTTTTATTTTGCATTGCAATAGATATAATTGATAATATTATTACATATAGTCCGTATAGTCCGTATAACGTCACCAGAACTTCAGCCAATGGCAGTGAAGTTTACTGGTACCGTGATTGCCGTTAGTAGCATGTGACAACGATACTGCACTATCATTGGCTGAAGATTTGGTTAATTAATACGGATACGGACTATATGTAATAATATTATCAATTATATCTATTAAAAAAGGAAAATAATAATTTAAAAAATATAAAAGGAGCAAACCTGAGATTCTCCGACTCCTGTGTGATTTAATCATTTTCAGATTGGTTGCGTATTTGCTGAATATGATCTGTTTAAACCTACTACTTCTATAAAAAATTGTATATATATGAATTTTCGTATTATTATGACACAGTTTTATGTCAATTTCTCGAGTTAGGAACATCAGATAGATGTCTTATATGTATCGTTCAACGCCTGAGATTCTCAGATTTCATCCTATACCCCATTTAATTTTTCCTTTACAGTCCCTTTAAGCTGGAAAACAACGATATACTCCCCATTTTTGCTCAGATATAGAACTTAAATGGCACCGTAGAGAAAAGGGCAAGCAATTCTTTAAATGGAAGTTTACTTGAAATTACCTCTACACTCTACACTCTACACTCTACACTCTACACTCTACACTCTACACTCTACACTCTACACTCTACACTCTACACTCTACACTCTACAC